TGTTGGTGTGGATATGTTTGCAAGGTGAAGGTGTCCACCGACAGAAAGAAGTCATGGATGGGAGGAAGGAGATATTTTGTATGCCCCAACTATGCTTATGATCGTGCGCTTCCAACTCACGCCTATGACCAACCACCGGTATGCTAGAGAAGTAACATGTTACTCTAAAATGTGTGTCAACACTAACATCCATTTGTATGTACTCACCGCCTCCTCTATGCAAGTACTTCACGTGGATAGATCATGAAGTGCCATAAGATGTACAAAAGGACCAATATGAAGATTGTCTTAGGCGCCAACGGCTGTTCGAAGAAATGTTTCGAAGAGTCTTGGAGGAAGAGCGTCGTCAGAAAGAGAGGATGGAGCGGAAGCAATGCGAGGAGGAGAGGGCACGCCAAGTGAAGCTTGCTTGTGAGGAGGAGAGGGCAAGAAAGCTTGCAAAGGCCCACAAGGCACAAGAGGAGGATGAGGCACATGACAAGAAGGGGAACCCCGTATGACTCAGTAAAGCTTTCACTTCAGTGGACTCGTCATGTAACCGGATGAAACCATGCCACATTTATCATTTATCATGAACTATGTACTACTAAGGCAAGAAGACATGTGTCGTGAACTTGTCGTGAATGAATTTGTATTGAATTTGTCGTGAGAACTAAAGTTTGTCAGCAATTTTTGCGATTTGTCAGCAATTTATGTGATGATTTTTTTTATAAACTATTGTGCTCAGATGAGGGGCAGAACAGAGGAGGTCCTCTATTTTCAACCCTACCGCCACACCCCCTGGCGGTAGGTTTCTGAACCCTGCCGCCAGGGCCCATGGCGGTAGGGGCGGCATAGGGGGTGGATTCGGTTCTGTTACGAGAAAAATCCCCCCCCCCCCTTGGCGGTAGGGTAAGCCTACTGCCAGAGCCTGTGGCGGTAGGGTGTGACCCTACCGCCAAGGGATGGTTTTTCCTTGTAACAGAACCGATTCCACCCCCGTGCCACCCCCTACCGCTGCTACGTCTTGAGCTTGTGTTGGTTTTCCTTGAAGAGGAAAGGGTGATGCAACAATAGTAGCGTAAGTATTTCCCTCAGTTTCTGAGAACCAAGTTATCAATCCAGTAGGAGTCTCCTCAAAAGTCCCACGCACCTACACAAACAAACAAGAACTTGCAACCAACACAATAAAGGGGTTGTCAATCCCTTCACGTCCACTTGCGAAAGTGAGATCTGATAGAGATAATATGATAAGATAAATATATTTTTGGTATTTTATGATATAGATTGGAAAAGTAAAGGTGCAAATAAAAGTAGATTGAAAGCTTATATGATAAAAGATAGACCCCGGGGCCATAGGTTTCACTAGTGGCTTCTCTCAAGATAGCATAAGTATTACAGTGGGTGAACAAATTACTGCCGAGCAATTGATAGAAAAGCGAAAAATTATGAGATTATCTAGGCATAATCATGTATATAGGCATCACGTCCGTGACAAGTAGACTGACTCCTGCCTGCATCTACTACCATTGCTCCACACATCAACCGCTATCCAGCATGCATCTAGAGTATTAAGTTCATAAAGAACAGAGTAACACATTAAGAAAGATGACATGATGTAGAGGGATAAACTCATGCAATATGGTATAAACCCCATCTTTTTATCCTCGATGGCAACAATACAATACGTGCCTTGCAGCCCCTGGAAAGGACACCACAAGATTGAACCCAAAGCTAAGCACTTCTCCCATTGCAAGAAAGATCAATCTAGTAGGCCAAACCAAACTGATAATTCGAAGAGACTTGCAAAGATAACTTAATCACACATAAAAGAATCCAGAGGAGATTCAAATATTTCTCATAGATAAACTTGATCATAAACCCACAATTCATCGGATCTCGACAAACACACCGCAAAAAGAGTTACATCAAATAGGTCTCCAAGAAGATCGAGGAGAACTTTGTATTGAGATTCAAAGAGAGAGAAGAAGCCATCTAGCTAATAACTATGGACCGAAAGGTCTGTGGTAAACTACTCACAACTCATCGGAGAGGCCTTGGAGATGATGTAGAGGCCCTCCGTGGTCGATCCCCCCTCCGGCGGAGCACCGGCGAAGGCTCCAAGATGGGATCTCGCGGATACAGAAGGTTACGACGGTGGAAATAGTTTTTCGTGGTCGCTTCTGATGTTTTCAGGGTACGTGGGTATATGTAGGAGGAAGAAGTAGGTCAGTGGACGCTCGAGGGGCCCACATGGGTGGGGGCACGCCCACCTGTAGGGGGTGCGCCGGGCACCCTCGTGGCCGCCTCGCTTGTTTCTTGACTTCCACTCCAAGTCCTCTGGATTACGTTTGTTTCAAAAAGATCGCTCCCAAAGGTTTCATTCCGTTTGGACTCCGTTTGATATTCCTTTTCTTCAAAACACTGAAATAGGCAAAAAAAACCAGCAATTCGGGCTGGGCCTCTGTTAGTAGGTTAGTCCCAAAAATGATATAAAAGTGTAAAGTAAAGCCCATAAACATCCAAAACGGGTAATATAATAGCATGGAACAATCAAAAATTATAGATACGTTGGAGACGTATCAACCGCCATGGGCTCTGGTGGTAGGATTCAACAACCTACCGCCAGGGGGTGTGGCGCTACGGTTAAAAACAGAGGAGATTCTCTGTTCTGCCCCTCATCTAAGGCCAAATCTTAAAATATACCAACATCTATCAAATATTAGATTGATCAACTAGCAAGCACATACATAACTCAACTCAACATAGTTCATTACATCCACGAATAACACATGTTCAAACTAATTAAAACATGACCCGGTTCGAATGACATTGGTTGAAACTAATAGCTCAAGCTCGACGACACATTTTCTAAATAGGTAACATCACTCTCATACTTACCAGACATTCAATTTGATCGTCATGCACTTGATTACACTTTAGTTGAAAGTCAGTGTATCCTGCCCAATGACCCAACACACCATTTGTTTTGCAGAACTATGCCCATGCAGCATGGCGGGCCAGATTCTTCGACATGCCTTGTTCAATTGCCCATCCTATGACCTAGCCGGGTTTCCTCAAGTCCATCTCACGGAATTCTTCTTTGCTGGCAGTGAACGCAATCTCAACTGTCAAAGCGTGTCTGCAAGCATATTCCCGGTCTTGCAGCTCATCAAGCATCCCCCTTTTTTCGTTCACAAGCTTTCGGAAAGCTTTTTTCTCCTTAGCATTAGAAGGTTCCTCGATAACGTGATACTTGCTAAAATCCTTCATGGTCGCATTTGCCTCATCACAACTCTTCAACCATGCTTCACATTCCCTCTTCAAGCAATGGTGTCGCTCCGACATGAGCTTCTCACACGCTATGTTCATAGTCATGGATTGAATGTCCATCCTACATTAATATACGGGTTTAAGATGACATACAACAAAACACAAAATAAATTCAATGGAGTACAACACTTAGTTACTTGATATGACATACAACACCAAGTTCTTAATGAGTTCAAATGTTAAGGGTACAAGTCATAGTAGTTCAAATGACGACCAAGCAAAGGGTACATGTCATTGTAGTCCAAATGACAAAGATTACATAGCCTCATTCAATTCTATTTGGTGTACAGTCCCGGGGTTGCAACAAATAACATCATTTCTTTCTTTGACCCATGCCCAACGGGAAGCCCGCTTCTCGTCCGACGAGAATGGTTGGCTCACTAACCAATCAATGACCTGGCCATGATTTCCCATGTCTATCTCAGCAGATTCTCCCCTTGTCGCACACAATGATGCAAGATCATGCCTACAATTTTTTTCCGCCGTCTTGAGCTTGGTCATCTTGCTCTCCTTTTTTGATTAAATTTTCAGAACAGTCAACAGTGAAATAATAATGTGAAAAGGCCCTACACGCCGCATTCAACGCATCAATGGCTTCCATCCAGAAGTTCATCTTTTCCTCAATCACTTCGCGTTCACGCTTCGCCGCCGCCTCAACAGAAAATTCAATGAAAACGAACGGTGACATCCCACATTTCGACAAGTTGCTATTAAAGTGAACTTAGGTTTAATTGCTTTCTTAAGCCTAACCTAACCCCAATTATGTACACTAATACTAGCACTAGATCTAGGTACACAAACAATTCTACAAACAATTCTAGGCACATCATACATAAGAAAATCACAAACATAACCCTAAATGGATCATAGTAATTGATTTGACCACACCAAAATGACGAACTAGGGTTTGCAACCAAATGAGCAAATGCAAACTAAACAAATAAATCAACCAATCAAAATGAGGGGAAATGAGAGAGCTAGCTTGGGTGATGAAAATGGTAAAAATCAACCGGAGAAATCTCTAACAAATGAGAGAGATTTGAGAGGCTCTTGTGCTTGAAAGAGATAGGGGAGAGACTTGAGCTCGGGGGAGAGGTGAGGAGTGGGCGGGCTGAATGAGTGGGTGAGGAGTGGGGGATGAAATATCCAGCCCCTCCCAACGTTATCCACCTCCCAAGACCCTACCGCCAGGGATGCTGGCGGTAGGCTTCAGTACCCTACCACCAAGGACCATGGTGCTAGGCCCTTTTCCATGTCAGCACGAGCCAACGGCCGTTAGTCGCCGTCCAGGGACCTACCGCCGGAGCCCATGGCGGTAGACCGTGCAAGCCTACCGCCACACCCCTGGCGGTAGGCAAAAGGATTAGATCCCGAAATTTTTTCAAGGGAGGTCAGATCCTGAATTTGTTAGCCAAAAAGGTCAAAACACGAAAATTTGCCTAAATGGGCTGGCCCAGTGGCTAGCTACTGCTGGGTGTATGGGATTGTGCAATCTGCCGCACAGAGCGGCAAATAGGAAGGCCCTGTTTTTCCTAGTGTACAATACCCACCGCCTCTTCCCGTCGCCAAACCGTCCCGATCCCCGAGTTAAACAGGACGCGCCTCGATTCCCGGCACACGAGCCGGCGAGCCGCGCAGCCTTCGACTCCGAGGGGAACCGCTCACCGGAGCACCACCGACCAGCGGACATGGCCGAGGAGGGGAAGCACCTGGAGACGGGCCGGGCCGACCGCTCCGTCTGGCTCATGAAGTGCCCGACCATCGTCTCGCGCGCCTGGCAGGAGGCCGCCGCCGATGCCGGAGGCCCCAACCCTAACCCTAACCCCGTCGTCGCCAAGGTCATCCTCTCCTTCGACCCGCTCAGCACGGACGAGGACCCGAACCAGGCAAGAGTCTCCCCCTTCGCTCCCGTTTCCGTGGCTTTGCCTCCATCGAAACGTAGCCGCTAAGTTATTCCAATGTATGTTGTTTGGGGTTGTGGTGGGCGGAAGGTGAGCTCCGAGATAAACCAGCTAACCCCTACTAGGATCGCATTGCCTAAACGATGATGAACTATTGGATTTTCTTTCTGTCTTGAGCACGAACTTTTCTGTCCAGGCGCATTACTAGAATGGTGAACTATGTTTGCCTTCAGTTGCGTTACTGTATGCTTTAATTGATGTTAGTTTTTCAGATATGTAAGGCCTGTCTCTAGTCCGTATGTTTCACCTCGAAGTGCCATGGGTAACTTATTTTTGCAGACTTAACTCGATCAATTTGAGCAATTATAGCACTGCACTTTGGATCTTGATATATAATGTATGTGTGTTATTCAGAAATTTGTCGTAGTTTCTGGGAGAAAAGCCTCTGCAGTCTGGAGGCATTAAGCAACATTCTGGACTGAAACAAATCGTGAAAGGGCTTAGCGTAACTGTGTAAGCATGTATGCTCTACAACGAGGCTTAAAAACTAACGCTATCTCTGGTGGTTAAACAGTAGTGCCTTGTACATGGCTTTTTCATTTTTCCTTTCCAGAACTCGGTTGTCAGTTTTTATGCCTACAGTCATATAAATGCTGTTCATATCTCTCTCTTTGTGCCCCAGTTTCCCCAGAGGCCATAAGACAGCACTCTTCACTAAATTTGTATAATAACATCCATTTGAGATGTTTTTGTGATGGTACCTATCTTTCTTATATGGTGTTAGTGAAATAACAGTTCAAGATGGAGATGGCTCAAACTGGCAATGGCAACACACCGAAGAATTACTCTTTAAATATGTTCAAGGATTTTGTGCCAATGTGTGTTTTCTCTGAGTCTAACCAAGGTAATATGCTGTCTTTAACCTTTTTATGATATCCACATGCATTTAATTTGTTTTTCTCAGAAAACGTTGAGACCAGTTGTTTCCGTAAGTGAGAAATAAAGAATGCTTGTTTTACCAACATATGCTTCTTAATGTAATAATAATATGTATTGCATTGTCTAATTTGGTTCAGAAGCTAGTTACACCTCATGCCAATGAACCCCACCGTAGTCCTGAAATTAAGGTGTTTAATTAATTCTAGAGTCCCGAGTCCTCAGGCCCCAATTATCTATAGTTATTGCCTTATTGGCATAATTGAGCTTTGTTTTGGGCAACGACAAGGAGCTCTAGCTATTCATTAAGTTGAAAAAGAATTGACACAGTTTATATTATAGTCCAGGTCTGATTGTACATATTGTGATATTGGGTTAGTGCTAATTTGTCGATATCATTATACTGTCAGGTTGCTCACAAATTGGGTCCTCTTGTCGAACTATTTCCTTCTATAAGTCTGTTTAGTTTGAACTTGCTGTTCAAGCACCTTGTTAATGTTTCAGTTCTAATTAATCCACTCAATATATGGTTTGTTGTGGGCTCTCTACATTTTAGATTTTGCAAGCAACTTCATACGTAGTCATTTCAATATACCTACCGACTCATGTCATGTGTATCTCATCTTTTAGTATCCATTTTTTCTGTACAGTTTCTTGGTTATGTCTTGTCACGTCGTACTGGCTTCAGATACGTTTTATGCTGTTGCCTTTGGAAGTTTTTGTGGTAGATTCTCCTCTACCACATGTTATATGCACCCTGCTGAACCAATACAATTTACACAAGCTGTTTATTCGGAACAACACAGCACTATTTTTTTTTCTGCGTCACATAGTTATTGTGTTCTGTTTATTTCAGGGAAGCTTGCATGCGAAGGAAAAGTCGAGCACAAATTTGACATGGAACCGCACAAAGAAAACCTTTCAGACTATGCAAAATTATGCCGTGAGAGGACTAAAAATTCTATGATTAAAACAAGAAAAGTGCATGTGAGAAATTTAATTTGATCTTGCCCTTTTCTGTCTCTTACATCTTCCAAGTGTTGTCACGTAAATTTACCTTTCCCCTTCATTTCTTTGTAGGTACTTGACAAGGAGCATGTGAACGTGCGCACAATGATTAGCATGATTGGTGGCGGGCCTCATTCTGGTCCAAAGGTAGTCGTCCTTGCTCAAGATAGCTAAGACAACTCTCAAGATTGCTAGGGGTCTTGAGAGTAGTAATAAATGGTTCTGAAGTTAGGATTTCCATCTTATACCTTACATGTTATGTTTTCAACAATTACCTTTTCTGGCAACAAAAGCATTCCCAGTAAACAGATTGTTTGAATTGGTCTTCTTTTAAGAGTCTCATCACTCGTAATTTTCGTGCTTATCAGGACAAGAAGAAGCCGGCGCCAACCAGAACTCCTGAAGTGAAAAGAACACGAAGGGATCGTGGGGATATTGAAAACATCCTATTCAAGTTATTTGAGAGGCAGTCGAATTGGTCACTGAGGCATCTAATGCAGGAAACTGATCAACCAGAGGTATTTTGCCTGATTCCTAGAAGCATTTATTTACTGATAAGATGTTGATCCGTTGCTTGCTACAGTTACTGCATTCATTTGCGACCTGATGGCACCTTATTTATGCAGCAATTCCTGAAGGAGATAATGAACGATCTTTGCGTCTACAACAAGAGAGGACCGAATCAAGGGACGCATGAGCTCAAGCCTGAGTACAAGAAGTCTGTTGAGGACACTAGCGCGACCTGAAGTCTATATCATCTCTTATGATATGACCTGAGAGCTAGAGGCTCATATGCTCTGACAAGTTGAATGTGGGTCATCGACAGATTCCGAGTCCTGCCTGTTAATTGCTGATGAATCGCCTGTGCTTCATCTGGTTGTTCTTCGCAAAAGTAGCTTTTTATGCCGCATAATCCTCGAGATATCTTCTTATACCACGGTTTGCTGTATCAAAGATCCTGAGTTTTCAGCATCTTGTGTCCCGAAGGTAAAGTTGTTGATGTTTCTGTGTATATGAAGTCTTGGTCTTCTCTGCCTTATGGGGTGTTTGGATTGTGATCAAAGCCTACTGTACCAACTTTTTGGTCATGACCAAAAATCCTTGTTTGGATTATACCAATCGTAATTGTTTGTGCAGCTGCGCATTCCATGAGCTTGCTGCAGGCCTGGAGTTATACAACTTACCTGCTTCCCGGGCTTGAACCAGATATTTTAGAGAAAAGGTGAAGGCCAAGCCTGACAGAAGGCTTGAACCTTGCCCGACTTTAAATAAATAAAGCCATCAACCATCCAGGATTACAAGAGCAACGTTGAAAATAAAAGCGAGACAAAAGAAAAAGGTTCCATGTACATATTAGAATAGACTCAAACACCACCCTGGCTGCCATCACCAGCAAACCAACAGGACCACGAGATGAGAGCACACCGTGCTTGCATTGTGTGTAGCTGACCGCATCCAAGAGACCACCAAACATGGTTTGGCTCTGCCGCCGCAAAGGCCCACTACCCTTCGCCCAGGCTCAATGGGTGCCGCATCAGCGGTCGGCAGAGTGGCTCCTAGAACCCAGAGCCATGCTGCCCAAGCTGTGAAAGGAGGACAGGAGAAACAGACCTGCAAGCAACGATAACCAACCACACGGGCATCGTCATCGGCATCGGAAAGGCACCATGCTGGGCGAGAGCTGATGATCGAAGGTGCAATCCATGGGGCGGGCCAAAAGGGTCAGCACCAAGCAGTAGCTAGGATTTTCTGCCAGGGTGGTCCAATGGACATCGTCGTTTTATACCACGAAATACAAAATATCCACATACTAGTACTCCCTCCGTCCCAAAATTCTTGTCTTAGATTTGTCTAAATACGGATGTATCTAGTTACGTTTTAGTGTCAGACACATCCGTATCTAGACAAATCTAAGACACGAATTTTGGAACGGAGGGAGTATATGATTTGCAAAAGCACATATTAATAGGGTGTTTCAAAGCACATGAAAAATCATGGTTCAAGTCCTCAAGCGTACAAGAAAATAACACACCTTATTTGTCGGGTAAGTCTCGATTATAACATTCTCATTTACTCCGAAGAAAACATATCACTTAATGTATTTGATGAAATTTCTTCGGTTCTCTTCATTTTGCAACAATCCTACAATAAAAAGATGTCCAGTTTACCAATTTTCAGCTCAAATGAACTCATAATAATCATTGAGCTCAACTTGTCAATTCCGAGTTGCCAAAAATGAAGTTTGCACTTACTGCTAAAATTGTTCAGTCCTTCAAAGTGCAATTATTTTACATAAGGGAATCATACTCTAGAAATGCAACTAGGTGAGCAACCTATATGATGCAACAACAATAAGCACACAAGCAAGCAAAGGATATAACACAATATAGCTTGCACAAGTAAAGGTGAGAGATACCAAAAGTGGAAGCGAAGGAGCCGAGGATGTGTTAGCGAAGTTCCTTCCTTTTGAAGGGAAGTACGTCTCCGTTGGAGCGGTGTGGAGGCACAATGCTCCCCAAGAAGCCACTAGGGCCACCGTATTCTCCTCATGCCCTCACACAATGCGAGATGCCGTGATTCCGCTATTGGTGCCCTTGGAGGCAGCGACCGAACCTTTACAGACAAGGTTGGGGCAATCTCTACAACTGAATTGGAGGCTCCCAACGACACCACGAAGCTTCACCACAATGGACTATGGCTCCGCGGTGACCTCAACCGTCTAGGGTGCTCAAACACCCAAGAGTAACAAGATCCACAAGAGATTAGTGGGGGGAATCAAATTTTTCTTGGTGGAAGTGTAGATCGAGGCATTCTCAACCAATCCCTAGAGAATCAACAAGTTTGATTGGCTAGGGAGAGAGATCGGGCGAAAAAGGAGCTTAGAGCATCAATGGAGCTTGGAGGTGGAAGAGGTACTCAACTTGGAGAAGAAGACTCCCCTTTTATAGTCAAGGGATGAATCCAACCATTATCCACTTAACCAGCCCGCGACTTGCGGTACTACCGCACCAGACAAGCGGTACTACCGCAAGGCATTGCGGTACTACCGCAAGGCGGTGCGGTACTACCGCACCCACGACAGACACCAGAGGAGGCCCTTTTGTGTTGACGCTGCGAGCGGTAGAACCGTCGGAACGGTACTACCGTGCGCCCTTGCGGTACTACCGCAAGGCAGGGTTTGACTGGGTTGGGAAGGCACGGATGAATAAAATTACATCCGTGACTACTTCTGCTGAGTTTAGATCGGTGCAAAAATCCGACACAGTACTACCGCATCCAGGGAGCGGTACTACCGCATAGGGTGCGGATGTAAAAAATTACATCCGCCCCTACTTCCGCGCGGGTAGCAGTACTGGGCCAGAAGTCACGGTACTACCGCGACCTCGGAGCGGTACTACCGCGAGGAGGTGCGGTACTACCGCATCCCCAAACGGTACTACCTTGAGCCTCCACGGTACTACTGCTCCCTTGAGCAGTACTACCGTACGCCACAGTACACTACCACTTGGGTCGTTCATTTTGCGAAGACACGGATAACAGATCGGTGCTCCAAGGAGGCAAGGGGAAAGGTGGTGCAAAGGAACATATGTGTACGTGATGATTCCACCCTAACCTTTCCGAAGCGGACCGCCTCTTACTAGTATGGCTTCCCTACGACTCAAATCCACCAAAAGGAAACGTAGAAAAACGTCGTCTTCACTAGGCTCCGAGGGGCATCGAACAATCTTGTGCCAACACAGGAGATATCTGAAATGCTCAAAGCACATGGTTAGTCTGCAAAAGCATTGTCATCAATCACCAAAACTACTTAGGGAGAAATATGCCCTTACAATCTCTCCCTTTTTGGTGGACTGATGACAATATGGGATTTGCTCAAGAGAGAACACAAATGAATATAAGCTACCCCAACTTCTACAAAGTATAGGCAGGCTCCCACTAGATGTGTGCACTCTATATGAATGCTTTGGACTGCATGGCACACATGCTAGGATCAACACCCCCCCTATATTTTGTAGACGAGGCATTCCATGCCACGAAATAAATAACACTAAGCATGATCACTATAAAAAAATACACTTCTGTGATGATACGTGTTTGTCACAGTAGGTCGCGTTTTTTGTCATGCATGTACATCCATGACAAATTTATGACAGAATCAAGATAGTCATACATGTGCTGTCGTAGAAGTGTTCCATGACATTACCAAAATTATCATCACGGAAGTGTCCACTTCCATGACGATAAATCGCGCGTCACAGAAGTGCTTTCGTCAAGGGTGACCAACACGTGGCATCCACCATAACGGAACGCCGTTAAGCTATCGTGTCGGGTTTTGGATCCGATAACCCGTTAACAGCCCCGACCAATGGGGATTTTCCACGTGTAAAATCATCATTGGCTGGAGGAAACACGTGTCGGCTCATCGTTGGGACAGATGTCATCCACTCATTGGACAGAAGGCGCCTATGATACGTCGACACGTGGCACGACCCATCAAGTTTAAATGGGCCATCCCAACTAAAGGCCCACAAGATTTTGCAGACCATAATGGGTCGGCCCAGCTAAAGGCCCACAAGATTTTGCGGACCATAATGGGCTGGCCCAGCTAAAGGCCCACAAGATTTCGCGGGCCATATGGGCCGGCCCAGGTAAAGGCCCACAAGATTTTTGTGTGCCATAATGGGTTGGCCTAGGTAAAGGCCCACAACATTCTTGCGGATCATAATGGGTCGGCCCGGCTAAAGGCCCATGAGATTTCGCCGACACTAATGGGCCGGCCCAGCTGTAGGCCCACAAGATTTTGAGGACCCTAGTAGGCCGGCCCATTAACTGGTTGCCATGTTTTGGGCCAAATGCCGGCCCATATTTGATCCGGTCCATTAATGGCCTGCCATGTTCCGGGTCTAATAATGGCCCATATGAGATCCGGCCCGTTAAAATCCTCCCACGTTCTGGGCCAAATCATGGCCCAGATCAGGTCCGACCCTTTAAGAGGCTTTGGCCTCAATTATGGCCCATATCAGATTCGGCCCGTTAACTGAACGCGATGCTTTTGGGCCCACTTGCAAAAGGCCCATTTAGTAACTCGGCCTGATATTAGTTTCGACCTGTTAAGGGCCCGTTTAACATTTCGACCCTATATTAATTTCGACCTGTTAAACGCCCGTCATATAGTTGGGCCTAACTACGGCCCGGTTTGCATCCGGCCTGCTCGCAGCCGATATCTGATTGTGCCAAACAAGGACCGAGACAATTTTGGCCTGTTAAAAGCCCGTGATTTGATTCGCACAATCATGGGCCGGGGTCCATTTCGGGCTGCTGCCGTCCCATGACCTGTTCGGCATGTTTCAGGCCCAACCTACTTCTCCGCCTCCTAAAAGCCCATTGAGTTTTCTTGCAAAAAGAGGGCCGGGGGTTACTCGGCCTATTAAAGGCCTGATCTACTAGTGGGCCAGTTTGACGGGGCCCATGATGCGGATCATACATCGTGATTGCATGACGGTCCGATTATGTACCGTAATTTTACGGTTTGGCCGCTTTACTGCGAAGACAGGATATATATATATACAATAAAATAACTGCAGCATCATGAATAAGTAAAAATCTAGACTATACAATAAAGAAATTACGGCATATTACATCCACTGGGCATCAAAGTTCGCCACTATGATAATAAAGCACAAGCAGACAACATATTACATACACTGGGCATCAAAGATCGCCACCAGTGCAAATAAACACGCCG